AGGCTGGAGATAATTCCTTTTTACCATAATCACCACCTGGATTCATAGTTGCCAGAAACTGAAATCCATCTAAAGCGGTTATTGAACTATCTTCTGTCCCTTTCTCAGCTAGTAAAAGACTTCTCTCCGGTTCCAAAACACTATTCAGTCTTTCTAAAACAGAATCATCGGCTAATGAAATTTCATCTAGCAAAAAATAACTTCCACTAACCAGAGCTTGGATCAGGGGACCATCAGTCCATTCAAATAAAACATTAAGGTTGTTTCTTTCTGATTGAATTTCACTTTTCAACTCATCTGGTAATGTAGTCAAGTCTTGATTATCATAACAGACCAATAAATCATCCAATGTTGAAAGATCACAGTTAACTCCAATCTGCGTCAAAGCATCTTTGATTTTGCTGCTTAACTTTTGTTGTTGTTCAGATTTATTACGGATAGGTCTTTGAGCACCAAGTAAATCACCAGTTTCAGTATTTTGATGAGCATTCACTGTTATAAGTTTTTTCTTGTTAAAATGGGCTAAAAGTTGACACACGGTGGTCTTCCCACAACCAGTTTCACCCACCAAAAGCACAGGCTCATTATTATTCATGGCAGCACTTATCAAAACAGCAAGACGACGTATAGCTTTAGTCCAAACAACAGCTGAAGGTGTGTTCATGAGCTCTGAGTTCTCTAAACCATGGTAATAATCATTCATGTCAAGCTTGACCCTCATAACTTTTTCAATCACTTCTTTCACAACTTGTTTCTCTTCTGGTTTTCTCACTCTTTCAGCAAGTAGCATATAACCATTAGCTGCCAGCTGTTCATAGCCCACTGCTTCTCTTAGTGCCCACCTGAATAAATCACGAAGGGTAGCAAAACTATTCTTTTGTTCGAATAAACGTGAAGATTGACGTTGAACCGAAAGCTGGCGGTAAACTTCAACAATTTTCTTTGCATATGTTGGAGCAATTTGACATCTATCACGTAAAATCACCTCCAATTCATCCTGTGGAATATCATCAAAATGGAGCTCCAAAAATCTATTACGAAACGCCCTTGATAGCACTTTACGACCACCATACAAACCAGGTGGATTTTGTGTAGCAAAAAGCATAAAGTCTGGGTGAGGACGGACAACTTCTTGTGTTTCAGGTATGAACAATTCCCTATTATCATCAAGCAAACGATTCAATGCCTCCAAAACATCAGTTGGTGCAAGATTTAATTCATCAAGTACTAACCAATGACCATTACGTAAAGCTTCAACCAAAACACCTTCTTTAAAAGATAACTTCCCAGTGTCATCAGAAACATAAGTACCCAGATATTCTTGTAAATCAGTATGTTCATGATTATTGATACGAACAAATTTGTGACCGGTTATATCCGCAAGATATTTAATCATACTTGTTTTACCACTAGATGTTGGACCTTGAACCAAAATAGGAAATTTTCTTCCGGAAGTAGCTCTAACCAGATTTAGCATATTCTTTTCAACAAATGGAGTGATAATATAATGAGGTTGGTCAATGATTTCAGATGGACCCTGTCTCATCCAGTAGTGTCTAAATTGAACAAAGTTACCTGATTCAGTAGATGGAGCAGGTGGAATTTGGCTGATCACTGATTTGGCATTCTTCAATCTATGTATAGTGTATTTTTCAATCAGTGGTTTCAAAATCTCTTCAGATTTCACATCAAGTAAAGTTAAAAAACTCATACAAAACCCTTCATACAGCGAGCGACGAAGACCATAAATACCAACAATATCACAAACATAAAGCAAGGTTCTTGTCAAAGTACGTATACTGAAATGTGGTTTTTGGTTAGCACCATCAACAATCTGATTAGATTGAGCAAGTCTTTTTGCTTCCAAGTATAACTGAGCAACATCATTACCGACCCACTCATCATTAAGAGCAAAACGAGACAAATATTTATCAATGATAGATAATAGATCAGCAATATCATTATCTGGAGAGTGGACATAAACTTCAGTAAATCTGGATCTGATACTTAATGGTAAATCACGCTTACCAACATCGGTGGCAGGATTCATACAAGCAAAAATTCTAAAATCTTTATGTGCTTGAATTGATTCCACTTCACCCTTTTCTGAAAGCAAAATACTTCTTTGGCCAGTTGTGTCAGATAATAAATCAGATATGCTTTCAAGAGTATCTGGGGAGGCTAAATTGATTTCATCTAGTAACAGCCAATCACCATTTCTAACAGCTTTAACTAATGAACCTTCCACAAAATTGAAGACAAATGAATTTTCTAAAGATGAAGATTGAACTTCGAACTGCTTGACAGTTTCCTTGAACTCTTTCCATTTCTCTGAAAGAGCTGTTTTATCATGAATATTGAGCTTTCTCTTCTTCTTTGGTGCCTCATCTTTGTTATCCTCCTCTGATGTACTCAAAACTTTGTCAGCCATTTTGACAGCTTCATTCCAAAGACGTATCACGTTTTTCCATTGATTACGATTGAAACATTTGTGTAACATTTTTTCAAATTTCTCATTTCTTTTCATAGAAAAGGTTAAATGAAATAGATTCTCAAAACATTCCTGAATTGGAACAGCAACAGATTTTGTGTTAACAGGTTTGTAACCACCTAACAAATCACCGGCTTCGGTTTGTTGTGAAACATTAATAACAGTCAATTCCTTGTTTAATTGTTTAGCAACCTGTTGAACGACAGTAGTCTTACCAGTACCTGTTTCACCGACCAATAAGACAGGTTCAGTCATTTGAACAGCGACACCTATTTGTTCCATCAATCTCAAAGAATGATTGGTTCTGGCAAATGAAGTACTGTTTCCTGTAGATTTCTTTTTGTACAAAGATCCTGGTGCCTTTTTCAAATGAGCCCTTCCAATGACAAGCTTATCATCAAAATCTTCATATAGGGGAACATGTTTGGAGATGAATAAGTTGATACGAGAAGATGAGACCTGAAGAGCTTCACCAATGACATTGATCAATGGTTCAAGAGCCGCAAATTCATTTATTGCACTGGCAAAACAATCAACAGCTTCTGCAAATATATTATCAAGCACGGATGATTCCAACAATTGATTTGATGAACTAATACCATTGTTTTGAAAAATCGAATTAACTCTTGAGCAAAATTTCATCAAGTCTCTCACAGATATAACTCTTGGTTGGGAACCTTTGTTCAGTGATAAAAATGACTTGCTATTATAGGCTATTTGGATGGCATCATAAAGCTTGACAAAAACTGGAGTCATGTTTTGAAGAAGTGGGAACTTGACTGACAATATCTGTAGAAGTTCATGATCTGATTGATTATCTAAGTGTAAAACATTCCACAATCTGAGACCAATAATGTCTAGTATATGATTTTTTTTCATCTGGTTTGACGTTCTTATAGTTGAAATAAGTTGAAACCCATTTGCAGCCTTTATGACTTCACCTCTGGAAGGGATGGTTAACTCTCTTTTCTCCAAAAGACTTAACAAAATGGATAAGACTTCGGTTGGGGCTTTATCAATATCTTCAATCAACACCCAACGACCTTCTTTCACAGCAGTTGTTAAGACACCTGATCTCCATTCAAAAGTCCCCGGTTTCTCACCAGAGGTATAAGTACCTAACAATAATTTTGCATCAGTTTGTTCCCCCAAATGAATCTTGACAATAGTGCGATCACAAGACAAATATTTGCTTAACTCACTAATCAAAAATGTTTTACCAGAACCAGCATTACCAGCTAGCATCACTGGTGAGGAGCTTTGCACGTTTAGAGCTAATTTCCTTAGGGTATCTATCGATCTTTCTGTAGGCACCAACTCACTTGTAGATCTGGTTGAAATATCAGGATGAATCTTTGAGACTAAAATACCACACACTGAGACAACTAATGAGCTTAATGAGGAGCTTTCAATATTGATGAGTAAATCTGACTTCTTAGACTCTCTACTATATGAAGTTTCAATTTCTTTGTAATTTGCAAATCTTCGTGCTTCTAAAATTGATAAAAATTGATAATCAACATCACTGTCATTTTCGTAGACTGATTCAAGAGGGCCATTTATATGATTCTGAAGCATATCATTTTTGGCTTTTTCTGCTAAATTGAGATACTTGGACAATAATTGGACTATTAAAAATTTAATGACATTGTTTGAACTTGACTTCAATATTTTGGAAAGAACATTAGGTGAGACAAAGCGAACAAATCTTGCGCAATCCTCATAAAGCAATCTGTTAAATCCCAGTAATAAATCTTGAAGCTCCAAGTCTGAAATGGAATCGACATGTTGCTCAAGTTTCGCGAACAAATCAACACGATCCAAATAGTATTCAACCAATGATGAAATTTTTGGGATCAAAGTGATAATTCTACCCAAAGCACTCAAGACAGAGGTCTCTTTGATGACCAACTTTTGATTGTGTAGTTCTGAAGATTCTATTCCAATTGACGCATCAGTTATCCATCTTGAGACTAAATCTATGAAGATCTCATTAAATGAATAAAGATATGCAGATGTAATTTGTGAGTCTAATGAGACCAATGCCAAATGTCTTAAGTTTTCATTAACTGATTTTGAAGTATCAAACTCAAACAATTGTTCGGGTATCTTCTTTCTTTCATAAAATGATTTATAAGTTTGATAGCGATCAAGAGCATCACTATAATTAAAATGAATAGTGTCACTCATTATAAAACGCCGTTAACAATAACCGATATTAAAAACTATGAAATGATCCTGAGTAAGCAGCAGTTGTAATATTGTAACAAGATCAAAAATCAAGGCTTTAAATGGTTGTTAAATTGGCAATTTTTGTTGTTTTGAAATTATAGGTTAAAAATGTTGTTATTAAAATTTTTTTTGCCTGTGAAAAATTACGTATGGAGATGAGCCCTCGGTTCAAATTCACGTGATCTCGCTAACAAATTTCGCGAAAATGGTCGGAAGTATAAAGACTGGGTACAAGAATCACAAAATTATACAAGTCGTTGTTAAAGTTATTTATATGGTTTATTGTCTATTGCTCAATTTCAATAACCGTTTTACCTCTGGCTTTATGGGTAGCTAGTCTATCAAAAGCCTTTTGGTAATCTTGCAATGGGTATGAAGAATCAATGGTTGTTTGCAATTTACCTTCTTCAAACAATTTCTTAGCTAGTGGATAAAAATCATCAGCTGTACTTACAAATCCATAATTGTAGTTTCTCAAAGCTGGAATAAATTTTGCAAAAGTACCACTGGTAAAGAAGCTGAACATGGATTTGTTATAGTCTGCAATTTGATCACCAACGATGGTAACGTAACCAGCTTTTTCACTTTTTGGTTTCAAAATCTCATCGATAACAGGGAATAAATCATTGCTTCCAACACAATCAATAATTAAGTCAAATTTTGCTCCATCGTACTCGGTTTTAACAATGTTTGAAGCTGCTTTAGCAACGTCCTCTTTGGTGTAATCAATGATGTGATCAGCACCCAAAGATTTGACAAATTCAGCAGATGAACCAGAATTGACACTAACGATGCTTTTAGCATTATGATGTTGTCTTAGTAGTTGAATAACATATTGTGCAACTGAAGTTGCCCCACCAATGACCAAGACTCTTGAAGTTTCATCCGGAACAACAAATTTTCTTAGGGTATTAACAGCAGTTGCAAAGACTAATGGGAAAGTGGAAGCTTCTTTCAAACTGAGATTTGACGGAATTTTGCCCATTGGAGTGTCTTTTGGCTTCAATTTTAAGTATTCAGTAACAGTACCTTGCTCGCCGTAAATAGGTGTATATAAACCAGAAACTTTATCTCCTTTAACATATTCTTTAACTTCACCACCAGCGGCAACAACTGTACCTGAGAAATCTCTACCAATACCTTTTTCACCTCTCTTGAAAAACATGTAGCTGGAAGTATGGAAGAGAATCAAGTCAACTGGATTCAAAGCAGCAGAGTTGACCTTAACAATAAGTTCATCTGAAGCAAGATCTTCAGGTAAGGAAAAAGTTTTCTCTTCCAATTTCATTGGAGAGCCATTTGTGTAAACAAGTCTTTTAAAAGTGAGGGTTTCTGACATATTCAATATTGGGGGATTGTATCGCGAATATGGATCTGGGTTAATAATTTGAAAAAGGACTTCAAGATAGAGTTCGAACTTTGTTATAAATTATAAAATTGGCACCATTTTTTTGTTTGATGAAGAAAACAAATCTGGCACTTTTCCAAAATTAGTGTTCGCGAAACGGCTGACGGGCTTAAAAAAGAGCGACATGGAGATTCAGTTGTGTACACTGTGTGTTCACAAAGAACACTACTAACCATTCAAATTTGTGAGGATGAAAACAAGAAAAGATGGAAACGGTGGAGAGTCTGATTATGCTACTCAATGCCCGAGAATATTGCTGCTCGTGAACTTTGTAGCTTCCCATTTGTATACCTTTATCCTGATGCCCCAACCGTCGCGCCTGAGTGTATGCACTACAATCAACGTATGAGCTTTGAATCAGCATTAGTTTTTGCTGTTTCAATGGGAAATAAAATATCACAGCTTGTACAGTTAGTTTAGCATGATTTTTAGCTGATCATTAATATTGGCAATAATCAAATTTATTTCTATTTTTTTTAATGTATCTGATGTGTATTTATAAAATGCTAAAATAATGTACAAAATCACATATAACGGGCTGATTCATTTTTTTCGGAGGAAAATCGATTTCCCATACTAATTTTGAAAAACAAAAAAATTTAAGTTTTCGTCTGATTTATAATCACGGATTTCATCGCCCTTTGTTTCATTCACTGAGTTCAAGTTCAACTTCTTCTCCAAGATGTACTTGAGATCATCTTCACTCAAACGATCAGAGAATAACTCATCAATTCTATCTTTGGTAGTCATAGGAATGTCTCCATCGGAGCTGTCACTTTCTAACTTCACCATGATGTTTAATGATCAACAGAAGAATCGATTTAATAACAATAGGAACAACTAACTGATGCCAATCTAACTCTAGAAGCGTCTGGAGCTGCTAATAAGAGATCTGATACTAGATTAACGACAAACAAATCAATAGATAACAAGACAAATATAAGATGTAACAAATAACAAATATGTATTCAACACAAACAGCAAAGTCAACAAGTCTCAGTGGTAATACACCAGGAATGTTTCAACACTCTCCAAAGGTCTAAACAAGTATACAAGAACAGCAGCGGAAAATCTTTT